CATGTTTACGAGATCCATCACTGTTATATGATGCGACTCACATGCATGTCGTGAGTGAGAGGTCACACATGCATGTATGACGGGTTCAGTGCTCACTAAACCTCACCGTCCGGTCTTACTATAACCTTTTTTCCTTGTACCTACACTACACTACTCCATGGAAGATGCTTGTTTCTGCTGGTCCGGTTTGGTTTCAATTGTTGTGTGGGTTATCTTCTCCTTGCTCTGGAGTGCCACTGCTCAGTTTTTTGACCTAATTTTGGGGCCAACCCAACTTAGGTTTATGGAGCACATAAGAGGTTAAAATTTATGCCCACACACATGGTTTTGAACTAGCCGGACCTTCAAAGCATAGACACTGTAGCTGACATGGAGGAGTCTATCTGAAAGGCCTGTTTGATTGACTCATTGCAGCCTCAATGGTCAATATTTACCAGTACAACTGGTGTATGCTTTTTCCTATTTTTCTTTATTTTGTTTTCTCCCTTTTTCCTTCTTTCCGAATTTTTTTGGAGTTTTACGGTAGAAAATGTTTTCTGATCAGAATTCTCTCCGGATCCTTTTTATGGAATCCTAGAGATCCTCACATGCTAACCATTCATTGTATATCGTATGATCAGTTTTCATTAGGTACTATTTGTGTTGAATTTTAAATAATAAAAGTCAAATAATTTTTTACCGTATGATGTACAAAAATGACTAAGATGTGAGAATCTATAAGATTCCTACAATTTAATCGGATGGGATCCAAATCCAATGTTTTCACCCTCTTTGTCAATGTTGGAGAATATAAAGCTTGTAATCATGGGTTTGCAGGCGATGTTGTAAGAGCAATGGAGCACTTGCTATATAATAAGTTCTAGTTGCCAACATCTTGGTTTGGCCAAAAATGTTTAATAACTTGTAATCATGGGTTTTGCAATGATTGTCATTTGGATTCAAATGTGACTATAATTAGATAAATTGACTCAACACCCTTAAATTTAACTTTATGATTATCTGGATTATAAAATATTATGTGACTCTAAATAAGTGTAAGACTTACATGCAACAGATGTATAGTACTTTCTATTTCTCTTTGCATCTCTCATTAATCATGTGACGAGAGATGCAGAGAAGGCGATAAACCGGTTGCAGAAAAGCCGCTCTCCTAGAACAATCAGTATGAAATCCACTATAAACAGTAAGTTCTACATCCTTCTTGTACCCCTACTCATATACACACAAGATGTGAAATTCCACTACAAACAGCAAATTCCACATCCAATCTCGTGACCCACTCAAATGGGATGTCGACGGATATGCTGTCAAGTTTGGGAAAGTTTGCAGATTCATCAAATGAAACACCTAATAATGCCTGAAAATATATTAGGTAAAATCTAAACAAGGATTTCCCTTAAAATCTAAACAAGGATTTCCCAAACGTGCCTTGTAATCTAAGGGCTCGTTTGAAAATACTTTTTAAATTATTGAAAGCATTTTTTATGAAAATGTTTTTTAAATCAATCTTTAGTAATACTAAAAATCTAAGTAGATTCTAGAAAAACAATTCAAGTGCGCCCTGCAAGAAGCATATATCTGGTGTTTCTTAAAAAAAAAAAACATTTTAAATACTTCTGGATCCTAAAATCAATTTCACCAAAAACGTTTTCATTCATTTTAAAATCAATTCCAAACAATCCCTAAATCTTTAACACCAATCATGTTTTCAAACTTTAAACTGTTTTAATATTTCCACATGCCATCGGCAAAAAATTTCTACAATTGTTCAAAAGGATATGGAACACTTTCAGCTACTACTCAAAAGTACAAAAGCGATGGGATTCACCCAGACTTCCATATGCGAGCTATATGTCGACATGGTATTCCTTCTTTGTATTATGTACAACCCAATATATCTGCAAATTCGATGTCATTGGTCGATTCAATCCTTGAAAAGTAACATCACATAGAGGGGTACATTTACTGCAGCGATGATCATGACCATTAGTAATGTCTGCACCAATCTTCTGGTCACCGTCTTTTTCCTTGATCTGCTTGCTCTAGGCAGTAACTTTGCCAATGGATCAACCACAGAATCCGCATCAGAGTCTCCATTCACAGAAACCTCTATGTCCTGGGAAATATTCTTTCTAGCTGCGGACTGCAGCACAGCATTACCTCTGCTAGAAAAGAAAAGAATGTAAAGCACATGATATATCAATGGATATATAACAATTAGATAAGACGAGAGAAAATCTGTTAAGGTGGTTTGGACATGTGAAACGAAGACCTACAAAACCAATGAAATGTTTAGCACACACTCAAATACCATTCCACCACTCGCCATCTTAAAAACGCACACTTCTTCCATTGGAACAATATTCCCAAAAGACTAATCACTAGAGGGACTCCCCATAATAGCTTATACAACTCGCGTTAACTCAATACACAGGTGATGTGGGACTCGATATGTACATACACAGCCACATACAATAGAAATAGGGTATGAAAATGTAGGACAGAAACAAACCTTTCAACTGAGTTTCTCTCGATTGAACGTGCAATAGAAGTGCCTATGGCTTTCTTGACAAGATGCCTTCTGCATCCCAAATCATCTCATATACACAGTTTAGATATTCAATTTTCTCTTTTGTTCGACTTCTGATGCTACTGATTACTTGTTTTACAATCCCCATCAAATCACTACAATGATGCCAAACACTCACACCACTATATGGCCAAAGCAGGAGAGAAACAAGGGTAAAAACAAATAGTGATAGATACCTGGAAATTTGTGAAAAGACAGGTAAGAGACGGAAACAAAGCCAACGGAAAAGCTTAGTTGTATAAATCAACACACATCAACATGAAGAGTTACCATAAATAAATGTGTGATTGCATTGGAAGAAAGCACGGATAAGTTGAGATTGCCTCTTCAGAACTGGATGCATTTGAAGGTACAAAATTACTAGCAGACAATAACATGAAAGACGGATACAAGTTTCCCTGCTGCCGACTTACTATCCCTACAGTGTACTGAAAGGTATTTATCAATAATAAATCATGTCCTGGTAAGAATTATACATCCCAACGCATAGAGTGCTTACCTCCCCCACAGGCCCTTTTTTGGCGTATGGATCACACGGCACTGATCATGATCATGACCGGATAAAACAAGTATCTACAGAAATCACTCAAAAAGTTATTGTTGCAAGTAAAATATAGATCCTACAGTCTGAATCAATTAATAGGGCTCTCACAGGCAAGATGCATGATAGAGAGGAAACAGCACTAACCGGTTTAATTGAATCCAGTACGTAGTTTGATGATTCCTCTGTAATGTAGTTCTGATACCTGTAAAATTGTACTGAATCCTTGGCTGCCACCTACCAAACTTGCAAGATAATGTAGCTTTCTGATTTCAGTTGTCCAAAACACAAGACGAGAAAACACTTACATTACTTCTTGACCATTAGCAGATCGCAGAATCCGCTAAACATTTAAAGTACAAATAAAAAACATCGTGAGTTTAAATACTAAACATCGTGAGTTTAAAAACATTATGAGTACAAATAAACTCAACATCTGAAAAGCCATTACAATCTGTCCAATCTCTTCGATCCAATCGAATATGGGTCAATAAAACCCTTGGATACGCTTGAACATCTATAAATGAATTAATGGAATATGTTCGTTGATCTTTTGTATATGGTTTCTCTAGAAAATTATGCAAAGTTCACACTCAGATCGTCTTCATTTCAATAATATGCGCATGTAATACTAACAAAACGAAAAAGTTTTTAAGCAATGTGCAAGACAAACAAGTAACTTAAGTTATTATTTAATGGCAACATAACAAAAACACCTTTTCCATACGAGAGTGGAGAACTCCATAGCCAATGTCATGGTTTCCAGGAAGGTAGTAAACTAGGATATTTAAATATCTGTCTCGCACCCTCAGAGAAAAAATATGTCTCAGACGGATTAACGACTCATTCCACCTAAAATCAAGCAAACAACGGCAATGCCATTCCACAGAATACAGCAAAGTCAATCCAAGATTGGAACAAAAAAGAACCTAACCTTAGCGAGTCAAGCAACAATTTTTAAAGAAAACCCAACAATTCCGAGCTAATTCGATATAAAGCCATCAGATGAAGCAATCAAATCAACTAAAACATCAACAAAGAAAGCACATTTCACTGAAACAGCAAAAAAAACCATTGGGCTTTCTTACTCTTCATCTGAAAGATAAGGACCGCCGTCAAAATAATCACCCAAAATGAAAATCACATCGGGCCAGAGAGGAAGTACAAATTGGTGAAACGCTCTGCGCATGTACAGGTCTGAAGAGCTGCGCCAATTCGATGACTCACCAAAGCATTTTCCCACAAAAGTTGAATATCAGTGATGTCTCCCTCATGAAGGTGGCAATTATGCAGACATCACTCTTGCGAGCTTTTGCCTTTTCAAATCCAAATCCAAGACTCTGCGGTGCGATAGCGTAGAGTGACGTTCCTCCTGACTTAATTTCAGGATATTCTCCTTCGTGATTCTGATCGTACTTGAATATCAGTATCAATAACATCGTCTTTCTTTTCACACACGCATGAAAAAAGAAAAAAAAAAAAAATCTCGTCATGGCAGGGATAATCAATTCATATCAGGAATGAGTAAAACCAATTAAGTAATCGCACCGAAATGTTCAGTGACATCTGCAATTCTGCATTCCCAAAGATTTATGCAATTCGCACTCCGGATTAACAGAACTAGTGATGTGTGCATCGGCAGGTGTCTCAAAATTTAGAAATTTACACAGAATCTAACAGTAACAGACCGATTACAAAAAATTTCAATGGACATTTTATTTTTTATATATTACTTTGTTCATCAATGGATAGAATGACTTTATGCAATCAATTGCGATCAATCCAATGTACGGATATCACAATCAGGTTCTTCTGCGCGATTCTTGTTCAGAGAAGGGGTGAAAGTCTAAGACAGAAAGATCGCTGTCGTGCAAAAATTCATGTTTTCTGTAATAAAAGAGTTGGAAATGCCAAGCCTCAGAGGTTTAGACAAAACTATAGATGCCTCGTAGATCTTTAAAGCATTTACACAAGTAATGTGGTGAAATTCTGCAACAATACCCAAAATATTTATGTGCAAGTATACATATAAATACTTTCTTAACAAGTGTCAAAGGAAAAAAAATAATGTACTAGTCTTTATCTTCATGTTGCTGGATGTCCCAACATCTTTCAGCCAACTGATAACTTCCTTGATCGTAGGTCTCTTAAGATGGTTCTGGTTGACACACAAGCAAGCAACATCAAGAACCTGCAGCATCTCTTCTTCAAAGCCTTTCCCTCTCAGGAGAGGATCAAAAACTTCCTCAGGTTTGCCTTCTCTCCTCATTTGCTGCACCCAGCCAACCAACTCTCTTGACCCCCTTGGCTTGCATACCTCAAAAGGCCTTTTTCCGGTTAGCAGCTCAAGCATGACAACCCCGAAACTGTACATATCTCCTCTCAAAGTGGCCACCCATGCTTGTCCATACTCTGGAGGAATGTAACCAAGAGTTCCAACAAGCTCGGTTGTAACATGAGTCTGGTACGGAAGAATCAACCGGGACAATCCAAAATCAGCAACATGTGCTTGAAATTTATCATCCAGGAGGATGTTGCTTGACTTGATATCACGATGCACAATGTGCGGCTCACATATTTGGTGCATGTAAGCCAACCCACAGCCTGCTCCTCGCAAAATATTCAGTCGAATTGACCAATCTAATTGGGAAGGACCATCCACTTTCTCATGTAACCAGTAATCCAGACTCCCATTCTCCATATACGAATACATTAATAGGCGAACACCATCATGCACGCAATAACCTTGCAGGGAAACCAGATTCTCATGTTGGGCAGTGGACAGTGCCTCAACTTCTGCTGTGAATTCCCTTTCCACCAGACCCAAGTCTCCTGAGAGTTTCTTAACAGCTAGCCTGGTCCCATTTGCCAACGTTGCTCTGTAAACCAGACCAAAACCTCCACACCCAATGATGTTTGCTTGACTGAAATTGTCAGTCGCCTTCAAGATTTCAGTTATACTAAGATCCTTGATTTCATTGGTCTTGGTTGGGAACAGTATGACTAAGCTGGTATCCTTGTCAAGCTCAGGAGCAACAACAGTAGATTGGCTAGACATGGTCTCGAAATCCGTCTTGTCAGTATCTCCTCCAGGAATGATTTTTCTATTAGACAACATCCACACTACTAACAAGACAACAATAAATACAATGCCAAAACAGATCCCAAAGGTGAGCCCAATAAGAAGGTTTCTGTTAGATCTTCGACCAGCAGGTGATAAAGGTTGAGGGCAAGTGATGTGAGCAGTTGGAGGGCCGCATAGTCCAGCATTCCCTTCAAAGCTGGAGTTCATAAAAGTATCAAACTGACCTCCAGATGGTACAAGTCCCTTAAGATCATTGTAAGCCACACTGAAGGAAGACAAGAAATGCAGACCTTTGAGAGAAGCAGGGATTTCACCGGAAAGATGGTTATAGGAGAGGTCCAATTTCTCTAAGTTGGTCAGGTTAGAAATTTGTTCCGGGATGCAGCCAGTGAAGTTGTTATGACTGAGGTCCATCACATGAATATACTTCAATTGACCAATCTCAATGGGGATACTGCCAGTAAGGCTGTTGTTACCCAAATATATTGCCGGGGGGAGGTTGGACAACTGATTGTACTGCTGATTAGTAGCACTGTTGGGCATCACAAAGACAGGCAACTCTAGATAACTTCTGTCCACTATCTCACTAGCCTCTTTCAATGTCAAAGCTTGCATCCAGCAGAACTCAAGAGGAAATCCTCCTCTAAGGTGGTTATTAGACAAATCAACGTAGAAAAGGTTGTGCAGACTGCCCAACCAACCGGGGATCGAACCAGTTATAAAATTAAACGACAAGTCCAAGACTTCAAGATTTGTAACATTGGCTAGCCAGGTGGGTACTTGACCTGTGAATTGGCAACCCCCGATAGCAAAAACCTGAAGACTTTGGAATCCAACTGGGGCTCCAAGGCTTTTATCATCTGGCAAAGCCTCATTCCAAAAATTCTTCGACAAGACCAGAGTGGTCAGATTCTTGCAACCCTTCAGATTCCTAAAAGCCCCCGCGGCATTTGTCAGGCTGTTGGTAGAGATGGACAGGAAAGACAACGATTCTAACGCGACTATTTCAGGTGATATCTCGCCAGTGAGCTGGTTGCTAGCCAATCTAATAGCAGTTAAGGACTTGCACGAGTAGAGGCTTTGAGGTAACTCACCAATGAAGTTGTTGTTGCCAAGGTCCAGAGTGGCGAGGCGTTGGAGAGTGGAAAAATTGAAGGCAGAGAGCTGTCCATTTAAGTTGTTAACCCGCAAATTCAAGGTGGATAGATTTGTGCAGTTGGTGAGGGACGGAGGCAAGGCACCTGTGAAGTTGTTGATGTGGAGGAGCAGATTCTCCAACCTGAAAAGGTTACCAATATCCCCAGGGATTTGCCCAAAGAAGTTGTTCGAATAAAGCTCGAGGATCCTGAGATTGGTGAGGTTCATGATGCCATCACTGATGGGTCCAGAGAGAATATTGACAGGCAGAGAGAGCTGTTGGAGATCAGCAAGCATAAAAATTTCATCAGGGAGATAACCATTGAGGGCATTGAAACCTGCCCGAAAAGTTTGGAGCCTCGAACACAATCCGATTCCTGGGGGAATTGGGCCGGTGAATTTATTGAAGGACAAGTCCAAGAAGGTAAGGGAAGTGTGATTCCCGCCATTGCTGACCGGTATCGGTCCCGAAAAGCTGTTGTTGCTGACATTGAAAACGGACACTGAAGGGACGAGGATCGAAGCTGGGATTGTTCCATTGAAGAAGTTGCTGGACAAGTTTATAATCTGCAGGTGGCTGCTTTCATGGGAGGATTGTGGGAAGCGGCCGATGAGACGATTGAAGCTCAAGTCAATGACCTCAATACTTGGGAGGGAAGAAAGCAAGTCGTCTGGGAGAGAACCCAAGAGGGAATTGTGGGAAAGATTGAGGTGGGTGAGACGGGTGAGGTTGGTGATGGACGGAGAGACGACACCGGATAAGCCTCTCCTGGGCAGAGAAAGCCGGACGACGCGGCTGTGCTCAACCGGGTCGCAGGTGACTCCATCCCAAAGGCAGCAGTCAGTGGAAGCAGACCAATTCAACGGTGTGTTGAAGGGCAAGGACAAAAGAGCGTCGCGATCGAGCCGGTCGCAGGCAGCAGAGGCAGAGCAAGGAAGAATGAGAAGGACGAGAATCCATTGACCCAAATAGCAGAGAAGACGAAAGGTTGGTGGTGTTGGTATTGCTGGGACCTTCACCTTCTGCTTGTCGTGTTTCATCCGAACAAGAGAAGAAGACATGAAGACTCTCTCTCTCTCTCTCTCACTCAATCACATCACCATCAATACTCTAACTACAATCTATTGGAATCATAGAAGAAGCAGCAGCAGGAATAGTACCAATCTAGAACGCCCAGCACATGTTTGAATAAATGCCTGAGAGAGGACAGAGAGAGCTATATCTACCTGGTGCAGAGGGCGGGGGGAATTGGGTTTTTGGGATGGCAGGAAAACAAAGGAAGAAACCCCAATTGGGAAGTTGACCCAGAAGAAGGGGGGGGGGGGGGGGAGGAAGAGGGAGAGAGGGAGAGAGGGAGAGAGCGATGGGTGTGTGAGACAAGTGACGTTGACATGGGGAGGAGATAATAATAAATAAAAGGGGAGGGAAGGAGCGTTTACTTTGTGGGCGGCTGGTAGTGGCTGTTGGTGTTGGACATTTTCTAATCTTGAAATCATGATGATGGGGATGATGGTGGTGATGGTGGTGATGATGGTGATCCTCTTTCTTTCACCTCCACCACAAGAAGGAAGAGAGAGAGGTTAGCGTGTGCAGTAGGATTTGGATATTCACAATTTCACATGTGCATCAAAGACTAAAGCTTTTTTTTCTGTTTCTAATATTCGTTTCAACACTTGCTTGCCCATCCGTTTTTCATTTTTCTCGGAAGATTCTCCTCTTTTTTTCCAGACACGAAAAAGACAAAAAGGAAAAATGGGGCACTGCTGTGCTTTGTTCTTGTTGTGAAAGCTCGACGAAAACGATGAAGAAGCCAGCGCAGCAAATGGGTCTCGAGTCAGGTCAGTCGTGGGTGCCTGATTGGAGATTGGGGTTGGTTGGTCAATTTGGTAAACAATGGATTTGTGGAAATTTGGATCTTTCGGACTGTTGGGGGGAGAGAGAGAGAGAGAGTGAAGGTTGCAAACTTGCAACTTGCTGGTTAAGTGGGTAAGAAATTACCGTGTGTTTGAACAAGGAAAAAAACTTTGTATTTAGCAAAAAGAAATGTTTTGCTCAGCATCTTAAAATGATGGTAATGCTTATAACTTTATTGATTATCTTTTAATGATTTTGATTTAATCTATTTACTACGCATATCTTGAAACTTAAAGTAATCTAACAATAATTAATAGAGTGGAGCATCATCATCTCTTTAGAGTTGTGAAAAAAAATGCACTCTTTAGTAAATAAGTCAAAAAATGGAACGTGGAAAATTCGAAGTCAGCCGTTTGAATAACTAAGTGAAAAAATGGTATTTTCCATGCCGGAAATCTTCAAGAATTTGGCGATTGACATTTTTTAGTTAAAATTCCAAGGTAAGAGGCGTAATTCTCCGCTTCATACTTTCGGTAACTCTTTATTAGTTTAAAATTGTCTTTGAAAGTCTTGAGTAGTACAGGCTCTTCCAAATGAGTTTTTTTTTTTTTTTAATTTTTTTTTTTATTGTCAAGTGTGTTGGTTTAATACTAACAGAAAAATTGAATGATTTTGTTGTTAGATTGTAACTCGTGCCACAAGTAAACTGAACTCCTAATCAATATACTATGCCATAAAGGGTTTAAAATTTATGTTAAGTTCTTTGCAATGTCTTATTATATAAAGGACTTTAAATATTTTCTTTGTGTATGGCAAGTGATAACCACAAACTTTGGACCTTGGTTCAACTAAGTTTGCAATTCTCATATAAATACAGTCATAGAATGTATGAAAACTATATGAAAATGAAAAGAAAGAGATGAAAAGTTACACTTATCAAATATTCAACCACAAAGTAATAACTTGAAAAGAAATGAGAAATACAGGCGTCACCGTATCGAGTAAGTTATAAACCTATTCGGCAAGTTCCTGCTAGTGGATGAAGTGCTTTGAAAGGAAGTTTTAATATAGGAAATCGATGCTATAGGCAATGTAGCATGGACAAGGATTGTCTGCCCTCCCACTTTCGGTGTCCTTCCGTGCCCTCCTGTTTTGTGTGGTCACGGTTAAGTTATGTCAACATTTTATATTATTTTTTTATAAAGATAATAAGACAAAAATAAATAGTAATATAAAATATTAACGTGGTTTAACCGTAACTACACATACAGAAAGGCACCAGAAGTAAGAGGGGGTGACAATCCTTGTCCATGTAGCAGAGCTTTAACATAAATGCAATTACAAAGTTGTCAATTTACAAAAGGAATTAGAAAAGGTAGCGTGCAAGTGTCACGTCTTCTGCCTTTGTACTGCCTTTTATGGAACATGTCTTTCTTTCAGTTGTTGATGTGACTGTTGCCAGAGGAGAAAAATTTACTTTGCAACTTAAGCTTTTATCTTCGCAAAACTACGGAAATGCCATCAGAAAGCACTTTTCTTCCGTAAAAACCGACTGAGTTAATCGCGTAGTGTGCCGCCCAGGATTCCACGTGGACAGTACTTGGACTTGTGCACTATTCATTTTTGCTAAATTAAATACCCAACTGTGTTTTAAGTGCGAATAACAAAATTGGACCTTAATCAGGACCGATGTTTATTTTAAAGGAAAACTAATGAAAAGGGTTTGAAAACTTTGAGTTTTAATGATAAGGACAAAATAAAGGGTAAAGTGAATAGTACTATGATTGATTTTTTAGTATAAAAATATGATTTTTCGTTAAAGTAAACAGTACCAAGAGCTTTTCGTTAAAGTTTCCTTATTTTAAATCCAAACAATTTTGTATGTTTTTTCTCCTTCCATTGAACCAACCAGGCTTGGTATCTTCAAATCTTCCCACACAGTCTTGGATCTAATTTGTTTATTTAATTTTTCTGGTGTAGCACATTTATTTTCTTTGAATACTATTTGTGGTTTTTGTCTGACTGTGTGACTGACATAGATAATTCTTCCAACTTTTGTTAGTTTTCGTGGCAGGTTAGATGTTGGAGTTTTTTCTGTCTAATATAATATTGATGCCCAATTAACAAGGTGTCAATACCCTGTTAATAGGGTGTTGGTGAGGTTGTGATTTTTAAAGTATCCGTTACCACCTTTGAAAATCATGCCCCCATTTTTTCCGTCTATCTTTTCTTATTTAGTGAAGTCTTGTGACTCAAAAGTAGAGTTATGGCTTTCTAATTCTAAAGATATTATATTTGTATTAATATTGAGCTTTGTCCTATAAAAACACCAATTTTCGATCAAATTCCGTCATATCATTTTGTGTATTTTTAGAATTAACAGTCATCTTTTGTCATAGTAAATTTTTTTTTATTTTTACTAAACCAATTTTAGCATTTAAGCCATTACGAACAATAAATGGTTTCACATGGGGTCCTCGAATTGGAATATATTTGTACACATATCGTAGGCATCGCTCGATAGACAGAATTGGTTTGGATATGACTATTTATAAAAATAAAGGCATTTTCGAGGAAGAAATAGATGACAAATTCGTAATTTTGTCCAAGTTGATAGTTATTTTGAAGAAAAGATATCCTTAAAAGGGACAACTATTCTTCATGAGTAATCTTCTTTTTTTTTTTAAATGGGACCAGCTAGTAGCTTCACCATGGCAGTCCACCCTTCCGGGACCAGAAAGACTCACATAGGCATTTCAACCTCCTCCTGGCCACCATCATATGATTCACCAGTGCCAAAAATCGAACCTAGGACATGCCATGTAGAATACGAGCCTGAAATTTATTCCCAACCACTGGGGCACCCGTGGTGGTTCTTCATGAGTAATTTTTAACTTGAACAAAACAAGGAATTTGTTCATTCATTTTTTCCTTTGAAATGCCTTTAATATAGTGAATAGTTCTATTCAAGCTAATTCTCTCTATCAAACTAGACCTAAGAGCTCAACCAGCTGAAGCTAGATTAGGGTTTTTGAATGAGATTTTTAATACTATTTTAATGTAAACAAAATTAGATTGCAAACAACAAGCACTAATGTCAGCACCAATGCTGGGAAAAGAACGCTAGCACGGTTGTAAGGCAACGTCAAGAATTGTTGAGGGGAAGAGCAAAAATTAAAAAGATAAAAAGTCCGAAAAAATATAGACAACAAGGATATTTTAGATAATAGATAATTTTAATATCGTTTATAATTTGTTAATACAAACAAATTATAATTATTATTGACGAGGTGATAGCCGGTGGTGGCTAACAACGGCATGGAGGGGGAAGGCACGTGGGGGTGAGTTAGCTGGGCGGCGGTGGCATGTTGTTGGTGCTAGTTCCAATGCAGAAACTTATGTCTTATTTTTATCTGGACACAAGCACTCCAGTTTATTGTTCGTGTGTTTGTATGTGTGTGTGTATGTGTGTGTATATATATTTACCACAAAAATAAGGCTTTTTTTTTTTTTTTTCAGGCTCAAAATGATGCCGTTTTGGCCTAGGTTTAGAAAAAAAAAAGGTTGCGTGCCGCAACAGCGATAGCAACCTTCATTCAAGTATTTCGTCAAACACCTTCTGTGTAGGTTTAGAGAGGCAAATTTTTAATCTTCATGTGAATTTTCGACAACCGGAGGGGCAACTGCACCTTCTTGCGTTGTTGCGGCTTCACCAATGCATGGGTGTTAGACTTTTTTGACTCCAACTAACTAATATCGTTGGCGATAGTTGTTGAAAAAAAAGAGAGCAATTTGTTATATAATTATGACTATTGTCAAAATAAAAGAAAATGGTTTATTCTTTATTATTCCTTTTGGCTCGATTGAGTCTCATTTTTCTTTCTGTAACACAAATTGTTCTACTTAACTTTCTAAAACTTTATTTTCATCTCACTTTACCTGAATTATGTCAATTCTTTAAAATGGGAGCTAATTTTTCTCGTACATGAACAAAGTGCCCAATTTTATAGAGTTGACAAAATCCAAGCAATGTGGGATGAAACCTTATTTTAGAGGGGTTAAGTGGAACAATTTGAGTTCTAAGGAAAAAGTGAGGCTAAAATCGAGTTTCATGGGGAATATATAACAAAAAAAGGCAATTGAACCACTACAATTGTTGTGATAGTCGGATAGCAAGCACTGGTCCTAGAGCAGCTTCTGTGCCTAAACATTAAGGGTAACCTAAATTTTCCCTTCCCCCCCCCCCAAAATCCACTCCAACCCAAAACCTAAACCAAACTTAAAACCTAAAACTTAAAATAAAGGCATATACCAGTCACAAATTTAGCCCACAAATTGAAGTGGGACCCACGGATGAGACTGAAAACTGTGATGTGAAGCCCAAACGCCCAAACACACTTCCTCCACTCGCAGACGCGCAAGTCATTTAGCCGAGGTGGACCCCACCCACGTGGGTGTGTCCCCTGGCATGTCAGAATATGTCTGTAGCCAACAGCTACTTTTCTCCATCGCACAGTTGTGGTAATTGGACCATTGGTTAATCCAACAGTCCACATTCAAATGTTTTTTTTTTAGTTTTATATTTATATATTTATTGAATCCAACGGCTTAGATTGAATATAATCAAATCTAACGGTAAAAAACAAGATCTAACGGTCCAAATTTAAATCCAACAGCTAAAATAATTTAAAAAAATTATTTAACTTAAAATTCAACCAAAAACTCTATAAATACCTATGTATTTGTTCAAACATCCACACAAAACTCACTTTTCTCCTACAATTCTTCCAATTTTTCTTTCTACCATTTCTTCTCATTTCCAAAATTTTCAAGATGGCAAAAAAGCATGTTAGAGGTCGTAATTGGACCTTTGACGAAGATATTGCTTTATGTTTGGCATGAATTTATGTTAGCGAAGATGGTGTCGTCGGCACCAATCAAAATAGAAAGTTTTGTGGGGTAAAATCGTTGATAAGTTCCATGAAAACTCCAACGC